TGAGTTTCTGTGCATCGGTGCTCAGTGGCCTTTGCCACTTGAGGCATAGGTCTTGAATGTGCTCTTCCAAGGACCTTCTGGTTTCCTTCCTCCTGCTTCAAAGAGCTCATCGGGATGGGGGATGGGGGGAGTTGTAACAAAAACTAACCAATCCTTTTTTTAGTGTTACACAAACCCTACTTGCATACTCACACCTAATCTATTGGTGGGAGTTAGACTTGAATAGAGCGGTCATTTTAAGAAATTTAACTCTACCACACTTGTCTACAACAGAATGAAACGTTGCCCAGTCCCACGGGCCCCTTCACAATTGTTGCCACATTTGATCCCATTGTTGCAGCCAGTGTGTCAGAACATCACCTTGAGTTTCTTCCTTTTTGTTGTTGTTGATCCTCATAGCAGCCTTCTCCAGAAACTGGGCCCTCCAAATATCATCTCTAAAGTATGTAGTTAATGAGTTACATTTCTTGAATTTTGTATTTTCTCAGTTACTGCATAGATATTTTAAGGTATGAAAACATAACATGTATTTTCCAGTTGAACTTTACAACCCAGACATGTTTCAAATTTTAGTATAAATGACAGCTAAAGAAGGTCAAGGTACAAATCCCGGTGAATGAGCTTGTCAGTGTACATGAAACCGTTTTCTTGTAGAGTCAGTGTAGACATTCGTGATTTTGCTTGACACATGAAATGCCAACGCTGTCCATCCACAAGACTGCAATCTATCCTTGCCACGTATCAGTCCTTCAAACTAATAGCCATTAAACTCAATATGGGAGTAACTTACCTAACAGACACCTCTAATTATCCTCCCAGCTGGTTGACTGAATCACATTTGCTTTCCTTTCTCAAATGGGTGAAAATTGCATTGTATTTGACATTGAATGATAATTAGTAACAATGATTATTTTTGCTTTTGTTTTCTCTTAGTACAATTATTTTACCCCCTTTATTCTTTTAACCATTTTTAAGCATCCACTATGTGCCTAACAGGATATTGAGGATGTGTGTAAATAAGACAAATATCTCTTTCCTCTATTAAATTATTATTCTTAGAGGAGATAAAGGCCAATAGGCAGCCTGACCCAGATGTATTTGTGAGAAAAGGAATTAAAGACTAGACAAGTGGTGATAATGACTCAGATAGTGTAGTAGGACTCAGGATGATGCAGGATTTGAAATGTTGTAGGTGCCGGATTTTATAGGAAGAAAGTTGATAGTGGTACAATATCTGGGACTAAAGAGAGGGAGAAACTGTCAAGAAGAACGTCTAGGTTTCTTCTTTGAGTAGTTGGTTGCCTGACTTGGGAAAAGGATATGGTTGGGGTGTGGATGCTAAGAATGAAGAGAAAAGAGTTTAGTGTAGGTGGGGCGAGCTCGAGGAGCCTGTGTAACTCCTGTGTTTTAGGTGGAAATGCCCAGTAAATGGCTATTCTAAATGTATATTCAGATCTCTTATTGCCTTTGACACTTTTCGGGCCATTTATATTTTTCTCCTAATGCCTAAAAGAATTTAAATTTTATTTTGTATTAATATTTTAGCAATACATTTAACATAGTTTGAAAATTTGCTGTTCCTCTGACTAGATTATTTCTATGCTTATACTCGTGTGCTTATCTTTGTTCCTAACATTAATCCAGGAGATTAATGTTTTAAAAGAAAATATATGGGAGGAAAGTGAATATTGAATGAATCATTAAGAAACATTTAAAAAATGATTTTAAAGTGGACATTTATCTTCACATAGACATCTTAACTTCACTTTTGTTAAAATTCTAGAGTACGTATATCAGGAAATTAGTTGTTTTATATATTCAATTTTTATATTTTCTAAAATGCCTTTTCAGAGGTTTCTAAATAAATGCAACAACAACAAAAAAACCCAAACCCAAAACACTTAGCAGCATGCAGTTAAGTCTTTCTCTCCTGCAGGGCAGCCAATGTTTTGAACTCTGTTGACCATGAAGTTAGCAACCCAACATTAGCCACTATGCCACTGGAACTCCTTAACATTTACCCTAGCTTCAACTAAATCATTGATGATAATATAGTAGAGCTTAAGACCATTTACTGTTTGATGGGGTTGGATAGCAACAAGCCCTCATGGTTTTCAGGAAATAAACTCTTTTATGAGTTTTCCAAAGTTAGTAAACAAGTTCCAGGTTGGTTTGCCTGCCTACTCTTAAAGTAGAGCAGTAAGTTTAGACTCAAATAGAATATTCTTTAAATGCTCTATAACTGTGCTATCTTTCTTGTCTTATCTAAAACTAGGAGCCCTGGTGGCATAGTGGTTACATATTGGGCTGCTAACTGAAAGATGCACAGTTCAAGACCACCAGCTGCTCCCCAGGAAAAAGATGAGACTTTCTTCTGTCATAAAGAGTTTACGGTTTCCCAGGAAGGTGTTGGGAGAAAGGATCTACATATAGCCCCCTCTCTGGGGGACGGACAACAGAAAAGTGTGAAGAAAGACATTGGTCAGTGTAAGACATGAAAAAATAATTTTAAAATTATCAAGTGTTTGGGAGGGAGGGGGGAAAATGAGGAGCCTGATACAAGGGCTCAGGTAGAAAGGAAATGATTTGAAAATGATGCCAACAAATGTACAAATGTGCTTGACACGATGGAGGGAAAGATGGATGGATGGATGGATGGATGGATGGATGGATGGATGGAGATAAGAGCTGTATGAGCCCCCAATAAAATGATTGTTAAAAAAATAAAACACTGAAGAAAAAAGCTAGTTTCAGAAACCCACAGGGACAGTTCTACCCTGGTCCTACAGGATCTCTGTGAGTCATAATCAATTCAATAGCAGTATTATCTAAACCGTGTAATTGATTTTAATGTTTTTATTCTAATTAATAGAGGCTATATACTTCCTCTGTTGTTTGTTCACTATTTTTGATGATGTACACATTATTAAACAGAATTTTGAGATTTTGCACCTAAAAGTATTGTTATGTTGCTGGAAATTAGACCTAATTAGTTAATCTGATAAAATACACATACGCTTAAGCACAGTTCCTAGTATAAGTAGCAAATTGGCAAGTATAATTAATGTATATGAAATTGTTTTAAAATATGTCTTGTAGTCTGTGGAAGAAACGTGACTCAGCTCTTTGAGTTTGCCTTGTGGGAGGGACTGAGCCACATTGATGTGGACTCTTCTCATGCAGGAGGTACTGCCCACATAGCATGCAGAACTCTTGGGGGAACTAATGAAGCCAGTGGAACACTGGTTTGAGCAATCTCAGCAAGTTCTACCATTGCCTGATGCTGTGTCTTTTTAAAAAGAAATTAATATTTACAACTTACTGCCACCGATGTGTAAATATTTCAGTCTTCCTCTTATTTTAGAGTTCAGTTAATAAAATTGTAATGACATAGAATTTGAAAGCTAAGGATAATACAGAATGTTTTCTGGAGTCAGCTAAAACTTTTTAGACATAGTTCACCTGAGTAACTTTCAACTTGGTTTTCAAAGCTGAGCAAGCAAGTATAAACTGGTTTAAAAAAAGAAAAAAGTATAAGCTGGTTAGATGTGACAAGTTTTCGTTTTCAGCTAGTGAGTTTCTGCATTTTGAAGCATCGCCTGCTCATAGCATCCACTATGAATCAGATCCACATCACAACAAGGGCTCAAGTGAGGTTGCACTCTTTTTTTTCCATAAATATAATCGCTTTATAATTGAATGCTGTATATGTGAGTTTATACGTGTCAGTTTTGTGTTATATTTGGGTTCAGATAGTGTTCCTTTTTTTTTAAAATCATTTTATTGCGGCTCATGCATCTCATCACAGTCCACACATGCATCAATTGTGTAAAGCACACATATACATTCATTGCCCTCATCATTCTCAAAACTCTCGCATTCCACTTGGGCTCCTGGAATCAGCTCATTTTTCTTTTATTCCGCTCCCCCCTTCCTCATGGACCCTTGATAATTTATAAATTATTATTTTATCATATCTTACACTGCCCGGCATCTCCCTTCACCCACTTTCCTGTTGCCCATCCCCCAGGGAGGAGGTTATATGTAGATCCTTGTCATCGGTTCCCTCTTCCCTCCCAGTATCACCACTCTCACTACTGGTCCTGAGGGGGGCGCGTTTAAGAACTAGAGGAAGGTTGGAGTTTCATCAATGCTACACTGCACCCTGAGTGACTTATCTCCTCCCCACTACCCCTCTGCAAGGGATGTCCAATTTGTCACAGATAGGCATTGGGTCCCCATTGTGCACTCCCCTCATTCACGATGATATTTTTTTTTCTTCCCCCCTTTGGTGCTTGATACCTGGTCCCCTTGACCATTCGTGATCACACATGCTGGGATTTGTTGCTTCTGGGCTAGATGTCTGCTTGTTTACCTTTAAGACCCCAGACACTATATCTTTTGATAACTGGGCACCGTCAGCTTAGATTGCATTCTTAAATTCTTTTAGGAAATTAGGAGATAGAAAATGTAATGAAAGGATTTCTTTTGTTTTGGTATATAACAAGAAAATTTTTGGAGGAAGAATTATGCTGCCTATTATATCTTGACAATTTACTAGGTGAAAATTTATTTTACTTCATGAGATTCTTCTAGAAGGTGAAATTTTTATAAGTTGTATTAAGTACAAAATATATAAGACATTGGAAGCTCTCATATAAAAGATGAGTGCTAGCAGTTCACTGGGGTTGTTAACCTATATTTGGGGTTAATCTATATTTTTGGGATTGTGGATTAAATTTGAATCATGTAGTTTTTAAAAAGGCTTTGCTACTTATAAGGTATTTCTGTATGTATGATACTGTATATGTAATTTGTGTTGAAACAAATATTAGACCATATTCCATATTATTAATACCATTTCTTTAGCATTTTCTTCTGATTTACAAATTGTCAGCAACTGTGTTTTACTAAAATCGACATATTCTAACAGCAGTTTGTTAAAAATATATATGTGTGTGTATATACTTTTTTCAATTTTATCTTTTTCTTCCCCACAGGCGTACCAAAATCTAATCTCTTACACACTAGATCATTACGAGGCCATAAAGACTGTTTTGAAAAATACCATTTGATCGCAAACCAAGATTGTCCTCGATCTAAGCTCTCAAAAAGTACTTATGAAGAAGTTAAAACCATTTTCAGTAAAAAAATAAACTGGATTGTACAGTATGCACAAAATAAAGATCTAGATGCAGATTCAGAATGCTCTAAAAATCCCCAGCATCGCCTGTTTAACTTCAGACATAAATCAGATAAAAAGTTACTTCCACAGTTTGACTCACAAGTACCAAAATATTCTGCAAAATGGATACATGGAACTACAGGTGGCCTTTCAAACTGTACACAAAGAATTTTGGAGCAGAGGGAAAATACTGACTTTGGACTTTCAAGGTTGCAAGATTCAGGTACCAATTTATGCCATAAGAGTATATTGTGGCCTCATCATCATAACCAGTCACAGAAAAAAGAAGAGGCCATCTCTGATGCAGAACCGAGTGTCCAGACGCAGCATCCCCATTACAGCAGAGAAGAATGTAAGTAAAATAAAGAGAAAAGGGAAGTTTGGGTTGTTGGTTTTTCTGTTTTGTTTTATTTTGTGGTATTATATGTGTGATATATTAATAATTTTAAAGAATTACATATATAATAAAGTATTTAAAATGACAGGTTGGCCTTAGCAAAAAGGAGGAAATGCTTAAAATTCTCCACCACTTCTGGAATACTCAGGGGTATGCTCTAGGCATTGAAATCCTGCAGTGTCAAAAGTATTAAACTGGATAATAGCAACAAACTGCATGGGAAAGTGCAGGCCTCCAATAGTTTTAGAACTAACTACCTTGGGCTAGCATGAGGTCCCGTTGCTCATCCTTTATAAGACTTAATTGAAGGGGGGCGGCACTTCAAAAGCAAAAATCTGGCATTTGACTGAAGACCAAAGGTAATGTGTGCCTTTATTTTACAGTTGGAAACAGTTCCATTCTATCTGCATCTGTTTCCAAAGAAACAAGTAGTTTCAATTGATTTAAAATTAAGATGGTTTAGAGCTAGAGGGAACCATGGAAATTTATATCATTTCTTAATTTCTACATATTATCTATGTAGAGACTTTTTTTTTATTATTTCCATAATCAAGTTTTTTTCATTCTTCAGGTCAGCTCTATAGTGCTTAATCAAGATCAGTTAATGGCTAGTTGCTAGCATTTTTTAAAAACTAAAGCATTATAAAATACATAATATACTTCACCTAATACCTCCATGGTTCTGGTGAAGTCTGTTTCAAGTGGAGAGTAGTTGTGAATTGGCAGTGACTTAAAATACATGTCTTATTGTGGGTTGTGGTCAGAATTTGAAATCTACCTCAAACTGTAAAAGTTCATGGATGGCTAAGTCTTGGGGTACTACTGAATGCTATGTTGATAGACACATGTAAATATTTTTTTAAATCAGACACTGTTGTTAGTAATTTAGGCAGATTACTTTCCCAGATTGTGGCAATAGTAATAATGGTTTTTATGTTGCAGTGGATTCGATGAGTCTTGGTGAGGTACAGAAGCTGAATGCAGTGCTACAGCAACAAATCCAAGGTGAGGAATCAGTGCTTTTTGTAGATAAAAATTTTGATGCAGCAAATCCTGTGTGATAGGGCATCACTAGTACCATCTGCATTTAAATTTGGAAATAAGATTAAAACCAGCAGTAATATCCAAAGCAAAAAATAAAACAAACCCTTCATTTTGAACTGTCAGAAAAAAAGATTTTAAGTAAAAATGAATGTTGTATCATTTCCCAATTCTTATTAACATTTTATTAACAACCTACTAATGTGCCAGGCACAGTATAGGTTTAATTCTGAATAGTTCTTTATGGAAGGTTGCAAATATATGTGCAAGAATAATGAGAACCGTATGGGTGAATGACTAAAACCAAGTTAGTAATTTCTGGACATCATCAAATATATACACCAAGTGACCTCCAATTTCCCTAATATTCTCTCTCTCTCTCTCTCTCTCTCTCTCTCTCTCTCTCTCTCTATATATATATATATATATATATATATATATATATATTACATATATATATAATCCCATTTAATTGAAGAAACTGTACTTTAAAAGTCAGAGTTTGCTTACAAAATTCATAGGAAAGGCCTACAAAGTATCTGTAGATAATGGGAGTTTTTCCCTTACTTTTTGAAAGCCCCCTTTGTATATAAATCACAAGCAGATCAAAGATTCTAACTATTTGCCATCAAGTGAATCAATTCAGCTATATGACAGCTCTGAGTGTCGGGTAAAAATGTGTTCTCCAAAGGGTTTTTTTTTTTTTTCACTTTTTATTAATTTATTCTTCTTCTTTTTTTTTAAACATTTTATTAGGGGCTTATACAACTATTATCGCAATCCATACACACATCAATTGTGTAAAGCGC